CCCGAAAAGCAACGGGAGGTAAGTAATGAGACCACAGTTGAGGAAAAGCACCAAAACAGTGCGTTTGAAAAGAGGCGACCACTTGTGTGCTATAAATGCCACAAGCCAGGTCACATTGCGGCCGTCTGCAAGAGTCCAAAGGTTGTTTGCTTTTCAGTCTACAGCGAGGGTGAAAACATGCGACTGCTGGAACCATATATCAGAGAGCTGATAGTAAATGGAAAAGAGTGTCGCGTGCTACGGGATTCGGCAGCGACAATGGACGTGGTCCATCCCTCGTATGTTGAAGCTGAACATTTCACAGTAGAGTGCGCTTGGATTAAACAAGCAGCGGAGCCATCAAGCGTATGCCTTCCGATTGCTAAGGTATGCATCGAGGGCCCCTTTGGCACATTGCACACAGAGGCTGCAGTATCTGCTTATTTGCCAAAGCAGTATGCATACTTGTTTTCAAACAGATCCGATTGGTTACTAGGACAGAAGACTAGCGTACGGGGATGGGGTTGTGTGCGCGCTCACTTGCTCAAAGGCGTGAGAACTCGCAACTAGAGCCGCACCGCTCGATGCTCCCTCGAGAATCACAGAGAAAGCCGGAGATGCGGAGATGGAGAGCCCACGAACACGGTAGACACGATCACAACAAGCACTGATCAAGCGAGCGATGAAGGCGCGGATGAAAACGAGGAAGACCCTCTTGAATCTGGAGGTGTGTGTGAGGAAATGATTACTCCTGCATCTAGTAGCCTGCAGACTTTGCTGAGAGTGGATCGATCGTCCCTTATAGAGCAGCAAAGAGCAGACCCCACTCTTCAAAATATAAGGAGTCAGACTAATGAGGGTATTTCAAAGAAAAACGTGATGTATCAGAACAGGGCCGGGATACTTTATCGTAAGTATCTAGATCGCAGACGGGTGCAGTTTGATCAGTTAGTGGTACCGGAACGTTACGGCCGTGATCTTTTACACTTAGCTCACGGTAGCTCATGGTCGGGTCACTTGGGGGTCAAAAAAACAAAGGATCGCCTGCTGCAGGAATACTATTGGCCGGGTTGTTTCCGGGAAATAGAGAATTTTGTCAGAACCTGCGACACCTGTCAGCGTGTAGGAAAACCAGGGGATAAGGTTCGTGCCCCAATGAAGCTCGTGCCAGTTATCACTGAGCCCTTTCGACGACTCGTGATCGACACAGTAGGGCCTCTTCCAACAACAACATCCGGTTACCGTCATGTCTTAACAGTAATTTGTCCCGCGACCAAGTTTCCTGAGGCAGTGCCTTTAAAGGAACTGAGCTTGGTAGAAGTGGTAAACGCGCTGTTGTCTATTTTCGCACGCGTTGGTTTTCCCGCTGAAATACAGTCCGATCAAGGGACCGTTTTTACGAGTGCACTGACTACAACTTTCTTAGAGAAATGTGGAATCCGATTAATCCACAGCTCGGTGTATCACCCCCAGTCAAACCCAGTAGAAAAGTTACACTCGGTAATGAAACGCGTCCTTAGAGCACTCTGTTTCGAGCGCAAAGTCGACTGGGATGTGTGCTTGCCAGCAACCATGTTTGCGCTCAGGACTGCACCTCATGAAGCCACTGGATTTACCCCGGCAGAATTGGTCTACGGTCGCTCTCTGCGATCCCCACTCCGTATTCTTCGGGAGTCATGGGAAGGGCGAGCGGAGGACCCTACGGTGGTTGAATATGTGCTAACTCTGCTAGAAAGGTTGCATAGAGCAAAGGAGCTGGCAGGGGATGAGATGAGCAAGGCACAGGCTCGGGCCAAACGCTACTACGACAGGTCGGCAAGATCACGCCGGTTTGAAGCTGGAGATCAAGTAATGCGGCTGAAACCTTCACCAATGAATAAGCTAGATGTCCAATGGGAAGGTCCGGCGGAAGTCGTTCAAAGGCTGTCCGACACAAACTATCTGGTAAGGATGCCAGGTAGATGTAAGACGCAGCAGATCTACCACAGCAATCTGCTCAAACCGTATCGAGAGAGAGAGGTTGTCGTAAACATGGCGGTAAACGTGCCCGAAGAGCCACCACTAGATTTCCCCTTTTCGGGAGCGGAAAGAAAGGAGGATAACGCTGGTCAAACGCTCAAGGCCATGGTTGAGGTAGCTGAGCTCACAGCTAACGAGAAGCGTGACCTAGAAAGCCTCCTGATAGAATATGAGGACATGTTCTCGGAGAAACCGGGCCGAACAAATTTGGTAGTGCATGACATAGAGCTTACGGCCACTCAGCACGTGCGGTCGAAGGCGTATCGAGTGTCGCCGCGTCAGCGTGCCATTATTGAGACCGAGATTAAAAGAATGCTCGAGCTCGATGTGATTGAAGCTTGTGAAAGCGATTATACCTCTCCGCTTATATTAGTGGAGGTTCCTGGGAAAGATCCGCGACCATGCGTTGATTACCGGAGGTTAAATCACATAACGAAGGATCAGACCTACCCCATACCAAATATAGAGGAAAGAATTGAGGCAGTAAGCAGTGCTAAGTACATCTCTACCTTCGACCTCGTTCGGGGTTATTGGCAGGTGCCTTTGACCGAAAGGGCCAGCAGATATGCGGCGTTTATTTCTCCCATAGGAACATACCGCCCTAAGGTGTTGAGCTTCGGTTTAAAGAATGCCCCCTACTGTTTCTCGGCTCTCATGGACAAGGTATTGCGAGGTTTAGAGGGGTTTGCCCTGCCTTATCTGGATGATGTAGCAGTATTTTCAGGGTCATGGTCCGAACATCTCATCCACTTGCGAGCAGTGCTTCAACGTTTCCGCGAAGCAGGTCTGACCGTGAAGGCTCGGAAGTGCCAACTTGGCCGAGCAGAGGTTACTTACCTGGGTCACATAGCGGGGCAGGGCCACCGCAGACCTTCCGATGTCAAAGTGGCGGCAGTTAATAATTTTCCGCAGCCCCGGACAAAGACAGATGTGCGGTCGTTCCTAGGATTGGCAGGGTACTACCAGCATTACATTCCCCGTTATTCAGAGCTTGCCAGCCCGCTTACTGACGCTCTTAGAAAAACCGAACCTCAAATTCTGGAGTGGGATGAGAAGAAAGCGAGGGCATTCTTAGCGCTGAAAAATGCGCTCATGAGCCAACCTGTACTTCAAGCCCCCGACTACGCTAGACCCTTCGTGGTTCAGTGCGATGCAAGTGACCGCGGCATGGGCGTAGTATTGTGTCAGAGAAACGACGCAGGAGAGGAACATCCCGTGCTATATGCAAGCCGCAAACTAACTGTAAGGGAGGAAGCCTATAGCGCTTCAGAGAAAGAATGCGCCTGTGTTGTATGGGCGGTTCAGAAGCTCGCATGCTATCTCGCGGGATCAGAGTTTATTATCGAGACGGACCACTGTCCCCTCACGCGGTTGCAAACGATGTCGCCTAAGAACGGCCGGCTACTTCGCTGGAGCATGCTATTGCAACAATACTCTTTCGAAATTCGTTACAAGAGAGGCAAATTGAATGGCAACGCTGACGGCTTAAGTCGTTGTTTCTAGGGATCTTGATGGCGTCAGGTAATCTGGTTTGGGTATTTAGGTTCAATTTTTTTTTTGTGTGTATGACAGGTTTACAATTGTTTTTTTTGTATTTGTGCTTTATCACGACACGTGTTTGTGAATTTGAGCAGCCTATTTCAGGTTGGGTTGTTAGAATTGCTGCTGCTATTGTAATGAAGAACAGGTCGTTTTGGATGAATTAAAAGCCTGGTGGGTCTCAGGAAGAGAGTATGGGCGCTTGCCTGCTTGGCAGTTGTGTTTCTCGCGTGGTGGACACATGTGCTGTCTTTCGAGAAGGAATGTTGGCCAGCAGAGCGGGAGCCTTTCTCCAATTTTGGACGACGCTACCAGAGGCTGCAGATCACCAGGGTACCAGAGGATTGCAGCAGAGCCGCATCGAGGTGTCCACGGCTCCAGCACACCAGCATTGTCTTCATCGACCTCTCCCCACAAAGGTGGATGACCTTCGTACGTCGAGGTCTCGGCCGGTCGCCGGGGAAGCTGTTACAAAGCAGTAACGAAGTCCTTGGGCCGGATGCCCCCAAGCGTGCCTTCCCGTCATCTCGGGCATTCTGTGTGGGGGCGGGTCGTCACCTGCACCGGCTCTGTTTGTCTCGGCGGTGCGCTTTGCCTGCGGGGCAGTGGCTACGGGCGGGCCCCTCTGGAATGTGCGGAAGGCCGGTTGTGTGCTACAGTAGGGACTGCCGTGAATTTCTCCTGCGTGGTCGCTTCCGAGTCCCCGCGCGTGTGCCACGTGCACCTGCCACGTGTGTGAAGGGACACTTGTGTTGTGCTCACGATTAGTGGTTGGTTCCCCGAAGAGACATTCCGCCTATATATTCGGAACTGCACGGCAAGCAAAGAGAGCAGCCCGCCAGAAGAAAACAGGAGAGTGTCGCGAGAAGAGTCGTCGTTCGGACGTTACTGTCCAACATGTTGCAAATAAACGTCTTGTTAGGTTTTCCTTTACGCCTGTCCCTCTGCCTCAGCTCTCGAGGGTTCTGAACGTCCCTGTGGCCTGCGGAATGACGACCACCACCCAGCTCCATGCTACCTACTGGGTCCGCTGCGGCCACCGACGCGGCTCGTAACACCACCAATAGACAGCCTGCACAGTCACTATGCTGAGTATCCCAGTGCTGCACGAGCTGATTACAAACTCGAAAGGCCCGCGCATCTACTGATAGTGCCACAGTCAAGTTTGCACATTAGCTTTAGTGTTGGAATTCAGGCATTCTTGAATGATCTATGACAAACTGCAGTTCAACTCTACTGTGCTTACACCATAGAACGACCTAGAATCAGCCAGGAAGGCCCCATTAGGCCCCTAAGATCAACCAGCGTTACCGTCCCTGGAGTTTAAAACGGCTAGTGTAAACTTTTTCTTTTTTGTCCCAGACAGTCAATCTTGCCTTTAATGCATGCTTGTTTGTGATAATTCTCATTAACTTCACCTGCACACATCCAAATGGAACTCGTAGACAGCGCAGACTACTCACATTTCCCTCTGTAGTAGGTCAATGAGCAAGTTGTCCACCTTGCCAACAACGGCCAGGTAAAAAGCCATGGGGCCAAAGTGCCGTGTTGACCGCAGCTCGTGGAAGCCACGTTTGGCGTCAATATGGTCGTAAGTAGCATGCGTAACCTGCATTAAAGAGCAGGTTACCAGAAATCAACAGAACTTCAAAAAGTGTGGCAGTACTCGTCCATCGTAAGAAACACCATAGTTGGCAAGGCACCAAGTCCTTGGTTATACAAACTATGGTTCGAGCAACTGTTCTGCGTATGAAATGATATAGCCTCGCTGATATAATGATTATGAGTCAGACTCATACCATTCATCACAGAATTCGAAAACCTTTTGTAGCACGTCGCTTCAGTCACATAGTGAGTCGAGAATGGCCACTGACCTTTCCACAACAGCAGGGATCACAGTATGCACTAACCAACAGACATAGGACCAACCACTACAGCTAAATGATCAGCAAAAACATCAGACTCCATGAGACTTGCTCAGGAATCTGTTGCAACTACGTTCTAACTGTCAGTACGCTTAAAGCAAGCAGGTACATACTACTGAGGAGGTTCTACTGTCGCCGCTTGATAATTTTATGATTCCAAAGACATCATAGCAGCCCTGCTAGACAATATTTTAAGAAAAGCTGATATTTCTACCCTAATCTCACGATCGCATAGTTTGGCAACATGAAAAAGCACATAGAACAGTAATTGGCACAAATATACCCCTCCAATATTGCATGTCAAGCAAAGAAAAAAAGAAGCATACCTGCAACTGCACTCCATAACAACAACTTATTTTGCATGAAAACTCATAAAAACCCAGGCCTGTGCAAATGAAGTTCTGAATATTCAATATTCAACTACAGCTATTGCTTTTCAATCAATTCACTATTCGATTTCAAAGCTGCTATTCAATGTTCATACAACCTCAGATGGTACAGACATTAGAAGCATCAGAAAAGTTTGTACACCAATGTAGCCATATTGCAATAGCCTGACATTTTCAATCCACGAAGCAGTGCATCTGGACCAAGAAAGACCACACAAGTACCCTGCTCGCTACCTAATAAGTAAGACGTTTCTTTAACGATCATTGGTCCCCTGTCGAGAAAGCCCATTGTTGAAAATTAGCACTCTGTGTACTCTCTTGGTCCCTATAGTATTGCGCTCCTCCCTGTAAGGAATCCCAATGAACCAGTCCAGCAATGTGCCCTGGCAAATTTACACTTTCAGAAGTAACTAGCAAGCTTAAATATGGACAGTTAATGAAAAGCTCTACTCAAGCATAATAGATGTAGTTCACAAGAAAACTAGCAGTGGTTGTCCTCCAGACTTTTCAGGACAGGAAGCACTCGTCTATGGCTTAGGTTGCGTTTCGCCCACCAGAATGAGGCACTCACTAAACAACATAGGTTTCCTTGGTGAAAAGAGTAATGGTTTTGTAAAAATGGTATCAGGTGGCTGCAACACATGCACAGCCATCCCGGAAACCCTAAAAAAGAAGTGTATGTTGCATCTCCAACATCATAAGATGATTCCGATATTAATGTTTGCTTTGTGTCCAAAAGTGAAAAAGACAGCAATGACGTGAAATTGAGCAGTAGTTCCCTACACAAGAAGGACATCTCTGAAGTAGACAGTGTGACTGCTTGTCAGTGGGTGCCACTTCATAGGTTTTGATGTCTGGCCATTCATGGCAAGAGTTTTAACCTAAGGAAATTGAATGAAAAAACTTTATTCAAGTCCGTCAGGGCATGGACTAGCACGTAGCAGACCGCTCCCAAGTCGGGACAGATAGGCCAAGTCTCTCTGTCACGTCGTGGGCCTGTCGGATTGCCTACAGCTGTGTTATCAAATCTAGAGACAGTGTAGCGGGGAATCCCACTTGAATGATGTAAAGTCTTAGTCAATTTCTAACACCGGGCATCGCCAAAGCATGCAATCTAAGCTGGCAAAGTCTGAGCAAGGCGTGCAAGTGTTTGATGCCTCAATTTTGAGATAAATCTTCTGTAAAAGTGTGGGACTATAATGTGCCCTGACCTGCAAGAGTCTGGGGCCTGTTAAATGTACTTAGCGGTGGTGAATACTTTTGCCTCCACAGATAAATGTTCATAGTAAGGTCACTGATTGTGGCTGGGGTATCTTTGTTGCCCGGAACGCCATCGCCGCGCCATTAAGTGGCTACGTGGTCAACGACTTCTCGCCGACTCACTGAGGCTGCATGGCGTACCTTCGATCTGTCGCATGTAAGTGGGGAACCAGATGATTGTGTGTTTGCTGAACTTGTTTATGAGAATTTTTCTAATTAGGCGAGTTTTCAAATCAACAAAACATACAAAAAGCGGGATACAAAAAACTTGGAATTATTCACGGCTGGTCGTGTGCTGTGCTGGCTAGTTTGCGGCTCCAAGTGTAATTTTTGCCAGCAATACCTGGTCCAGATTTCGTGGCAAACATGAGGGAACAGCGAACCTCGCTTTTGCCACCGAAAAAAAAAAAAAGAACCAGTCGTGATCAACTGAACTGCGTGCCCGCAAAAAACAAACTACGTTCACTGCAATGCAGCAGTGACATGCTGGTAGCATGTCGCCTGCTCCTCACTGCATCAGCATGACATGATGTGACCGTTCGCCCATTCTTTCTGGTAAAATAAAGAATTTAATAATCGCCATTGTGATGAAATTTGTGATGTTTTATGGCTGGAAACACGATCATAGAAGCCTTTAAACTGCGTTTTCGCAGTAGGCGTTGCAGGCTAGAACTTCAACAGCAGTGCAAATGCACAAATTGCTGGAGTAACCGGTAATCAAATGTTTTCATACATCCTGAGTTTCACCAAACTGTTTTTTATTAGTTACTTTAATAGTTAATTCAGTTACTTTGTTAAACTGTCCTTTACCAGTCAAACTTTATTACCGTATTTACTCGATTCTACCGCGCCCTCGATTGTAACGCGCACCCAATTTCCACCGCCAAAAAAAAAAAAAAAAAACGTAAGACATAGATTGCAACGCGCACCCATTTTTCTCGCTGGCCCGCACGATCACACCACTCGAAAAAACGACTCCTTTCGGGAGCGTCTTCCATTTAAATATGAGGTACGGGCGAAGCTTGTGCCCATCTGACATGTAACAGAGCATTGCCGTCACTGTAGTTTTACCGTGGACCGATGTCAGCACGCGAACTTGCTTCGCCCCCTTCTTCTCGATGATTGTGGTGCCAGGCATGTCGAAGTAAAGAGGCGTCTGATCGGCATTCCCGATTTGCCCAAGCAGGTAGCCGTTGTTGCGCCGCAAGTTTAGGACGAACCTCTGAAAACTGTGAAGCTTTTCATCGTACTCCTCCGCAAAACTTTTCGCATATGCATGTTCTCCTTCGGAGGGAAAAGCCTTTCCTCTTCATAAAGTTAGTTAGCAAGCACCTGCTCGCTTTAAACTGCCTCTGCATTAGACCTTTTTCTAAGACTAATTGCATAGCCCGCATTTGGAGCAGTTCTGTCGTCACGGGCCGCTGTGCCGCTCGCTGTTCAAGCACATACTCGCCGAGCAGCTCTTTAATTTGCGGAAAGCGACCCTGCTGTGGTCGACTGAAGCCTTTGCGTGAAGCTTTGCGGTGGACAATCTTCTGCTTTTGTTTCCGCCGGTCCCGCACGCACGTTTCGGGAACTCCGAACGACCGCGATGCGGCCCGATTTCCGTCCGTTTCTGCACACGTGATGACTTTTCTTTTAAAAGCGGCATCATGGTGCATTCGAGTTTTTGGAGTCGGCCCTTCCACGCCGTCGATGCTAATGCACTACTAGATGACGAACTCCTCAGCACATGTACGAAGTGCCGCACATGGGAAACACATAGGCAGAAATGGCCGACGCGCCATGCCGACACACGTAGGGGGCGGCCATTTTGGATTTGCCGATGGCAATAGATTGACCGTAATTTCTTTTGTTCGTACTCGATTCTAACACGCATGCGATTTATGAGCTCGCTTAACCGGAATAAAGGTGCACGTTAGATTCGAGTAACTACGGTAGTTAGACTGGTGCTGACCGCCGCTTCAAATTATCCGCTCAGACTTACATTGCAAAATAGGAAACAGTGGAAATATTTCGAACTATGCGGGATTTTGAAATAACCAAGTTCAAATTAATGAGAGTTTACTGTATCATAGGATCCGCAAGGCTGATTCCGAAATGGTGCCCTTATCAAATGCTCTGACTGCCCTTGTCAAGTCTCTGTATATTGTCGTTCTTTCATCGCCTAGCAGGGCGAAGGCTATTGCGACCTGCCTGGCAGCCTCGGCTGTTGTTGTTCAAACCAACCAGGAGTTTGTAACTTTCCCATCTGGGTCAAGACTGACTGCAACGTATGCTTTTTCAATTTGGGTGCCATGCTGCGTCGAAGAAACACAAACTACGGGCATGTGCGTGGGTCTCTACCAGGAGGACTCTAGCCTTGGCCTGCATTGCACTCGGAGTGCACATTACAATGAATGGGGGCAATGGTAATGCCCTCTCTCTATTTCCGACGAATGCTGCAGTATCAGGCGCTTATTTCCGTTGGGGGAACTTCAACTTCTTTCAGTGTGTTTCTCCTGGCAGTGGTGGTAGAAAGTCTGGTAAACTGCGCCCTCTCTCGAGAATCGGCTATCTCTTCCAGTATACTGTGCATGCCGAGGTACCACCAGATAATCTCGAGGCATATACACACCAGCGTCTAGAAAATAGATTGTTTTCTTTAAGCGGTTGCCCGCATGCCTTATTCAAAGAATATCATCTGTACTGTTTGATAGTTGCTTTAAAGGATGACACCCCCTGGGTACTTATGTTTCGATCGATATACAGTAAACACCCATTAAACGAAACTCTCTTAAATGAAATTGCTGCTTAAATTGAACAACTGCCACTAATATGATTGGTTTCATACTTGAATATTATACCCCTATTTATCTCTCAGTAAACAAAACTCCTTTTAAATGAACCCATTTTTTTAGTCCCTTCATGTTTCGTTTAAAAGCAGTCTACTGTACACAAAATATTCTGCCAGCAAGGATTAGTCTGCGAGTTACTGGCACAAAGGGGGCCTTTTCTACTAAATTCATTGTCACCAAATTAATTTTAGTGCTAGACCTGGAACAAACCTTTCATCATGAGTAAGAATGTGACAAAAGAAAAAATGCAGTTGAGAGTACCACCTCCTTTTGTCTCCCGGTGAGCAATCCTGTTTCTGCAATAATTTATTATGAATATACATCAACTAGCGAGCCCTTCAGTACATTTTAACAAATATTACCCTTCTTAAAGAAAACAAAAGAAGACAAAGAAGCTCACTCTGATGTACTCGGCGTCGTCTGGCTCAAACTGGATACAAGCCCTGTCCAACACAAACCGATACCATTGCTTGTCCAAGACATCCTGCATGGGAGAGTAAAGAGAAAAAAAAAACAGCACAATTATCTATTATATCCAAGTTTGCACTGCAAGACATTCACCCAAAAAGTTTGCTCATCAGTTTGCACCCAAAAAGTGTGCCTGAAGAATGTTCACAGAAAGATATACAACTCTGTGAAATTGCCATGAAATTCTGAGATTGCTACGAACTGAAGGCATGCCACAAAATAGAGAAACAATCCAACGTTATTCTCCGGTCCTTTATGTTTTTCCCCAGAGTTGGTCGTGATGTAAGCGTCCGCATCTGGTCATGTCTGTAGCAGCAAGAACCCGTTTGTCTACAGCACATATACGCCGGCTCCCCACACTTCGTCTCCCCAACAAGGCAAGGATGAGCACTCTGTGACAATGGGAGGCAATCCAACAAACGGAGCACAGCGAAAAAAAGAGCAAAATGAACAAGGGCCGCTACTGAGGCACCATTAAAAAAAATCTTTACAGCTAAGAGATGATTGTGGACTCGTTGCGCAGCTACAATAAAACTAAACTGCAGTCTCTGGGAGGTTGAGGGGCCCTCTAAATCACATTAGCAGGCGCCGAACAGACTTCACTGCCACTATCTCATCTCTCAACTTTGCTGGAAAGCATTACCATGCGCATCAGCTTTTCATTTAAAACTACTCACACAGTAGGCCTTTGCTTTTACACTGCAAGTGACAGTGGAATCCTTAGATCATAGGTTTCAAACTCACCTCAGCTAGCAGCCAAAATCATGGAAAATTACTCCTGCAAGGGCCAGGACAGGGCATAATGTGGAAGGGCGGGGGGGGGGGGGGGGGTGCTTGTAGTGCACAGCACATGTCAGATACAAATGTTGAAGATTGGACGAGTGGGTTCTTCGCACTTGAACTGACATAGCGCATCATGGTAAAGAAGAAATGGCCCAAGCAGACCAATACAAGAGGACAGAGCGCTAGTCCTCTTGTGTCGGTCTGCAAAGGGCTATTTCTTCTTTAACGTAATGTGCTATACCAGTTCAAGTATGTCAGCTAACCTTGCCATTTCAATTGCCTTTCTCATGTTATGTGGGTCACTTCTCTGAAGGGGATTTGGTGCCAAGATTCTAACATCATATCGATACTGCTCTCCAAAATGGCTGAAACCTAGATGCTGACTCCGAGCTTTGTTTCACGGTCGTATCAACACATGGTGACTGCGAGGGATTCCTCCTGTAAAAAATGCTCAGAACTAGCCATGTCCCAATAGCCCACGCACATTTTTTTGCAAAATTTGACAAATGCCTTCATACAGGACTAAAAGAATCATGATGTAGAAACAGCCCGTGCCATATTCTCGTCGTGCCATCTTCTCATCGATGGGCTGCATGCAGCTCATGAGCCATGTGTTTGAGATCCCTGTCTTACATGATGTGTGAGAGGTTGCGAAAGTGTTATACTACATTTTCGCAAGCTTTGCAAGAGCTTTTAAATCAACTCGAATATTCACCTGTAAGTAGCCCGGCTCAAACATCTTGGGCATGTAGAAGGACTTGTCCTTGTTAGTAAAGTAGGTCTGCAGCATGCGTTCTCTCTCCTCCCAGTTGGCGGTGCGCAACACCCCTCGGGTTCTCGTACGACAATCAGCCGCTCCTGAAAATATACACGAACGCATGCCACTCATGCTCTCTCTCATTTTGTTGGGCTATGTTCGGGGATGATGGCAAAAGGACGAACATCGCAGCTGGCATATTAATGTACTGCATTTCAGTCCTGTAGACAAAACCCTGAACTCAGCTGTCTCACGGAACAAACGGTTCATTCTGAGGCTTCTCTGCCAAAGATGTTGAATGTAAAACAGTAACGTACACAGAATGAGGCAGTTATACTTAATACAGATGAAGATGTGGTGAAGCATATGCCAGAAGGGCAGCAGACATTCTGCAGCTTAAAAACATGCACTTAGAAGGAATGAAAATGAAATGAATGCATTCAGACTAATACAGTGCCCCTTTGTTCAAATCAACAGCGAAGGATAAGGGCTGAACTTTACGAAATGAAACCAAACCTCCTGAACGGTGCCGTCCTCTGCTGGGAGGGAAGGCTCTATTTTGTTTGCTGGGAGGGAAGGCTTTATACTGCTCAGCCACTTCAGAAATACTTTACTTGGAAATGGTAGTATAAATTGTTTTAATGCACCAGTAACATAACCAAATTATTTTGGCATGGGAGGTGATGGGGGAAGGGTTCAGCTATACTTTACATATGTAAGTGTGTGTATACATAAACATGTAAAATTGAAAATTATCAGCGCAGGGGGGAGGGGCTTTCCACCAGCAACCCTGGCTACACCAGTGTAGTGCACTGTGGAGCTCTGTAAAGAAATCAGTGCACCAAGAAAAAGAAACCGTGATCTGAACATGGAAACTCTGCATGCTCTTTGAGAATAAGCACACTTGACTCCTGCTGTAATTATAGTGGCTCTGTTCTTACCTTCATCGTACTTGCACTCATTTTATTACTTCTAATGTTTTCAACATGCATGTTTAAGCTTGGTATTTGAGGAACAGTTATATAAGAGCATATAAAATGGATTTCCTGTCTAGATGTCAGATTTCACAAGAACGCTTACAACAATTTCAAAATGTGGATTTACCGAATTAACAGCTTTAAATAATAGGCATGCCAAAGGGTTTATTATCTTTAGTAGTGCGAAAGTATTCGAAATTTCAATATTTCTCAAATAGTGTTTGCTATTTGATTCAATTCACACTAGAATTTTTCTAGTCGATTCAATTCACACTATAGGTTTCCTATTCTAACTTCCCTAATATTATACATGCCCGCCTGAGAGTGGCCCCTTAAGGCGTTCAGTATGCTTTACCCCATCATACTCTCATATTGCGGCAAAGCTGCCTTTCAAGCTCTACCACAGTCACAAATGTACTGACTCTAAAAAACGCTGGTTCCAACAAGGAGATCATAGATGTGACAGATATGGGAGCTAAATGCTGTTTTGGACTTTAAATTTAGGCAGAAAGTTGAAAAAATCGGCACTGAAGGTTTTAGCATCCAGAGTTTCAGATGTTTTTAAATACTGACGTCTACTATGCAGATTTGAAATTCCAAAAAAGCACACCCTCATCCACTATATCAATTGGTTTTCCACAAAAGTAGACAAAGAAGGAGAGGCTGAGGAAATAGCATCTTTTCCTTTCACAAGTAAAGTGCTGCTGGCAAGGCTTTGGTTGTATAGCCTTTTCATTGATAAGGCAACTATGAAACACCACCCTGCCAGCACTTCATCAACCTTCCTAAAGGAAACACATTCATGTTGCCATCTTATAGGAGTGTGCTTAAAATCCTCTCCAGCTTTTCTTTTGGCAATCTTCTTTTGTAAAATTCAGAAACTATCCTAGAAATATTGAAAAAAGTATTCTATTTGAATTAGCTTCACACACAAAATATTGTTTTTCACACAGCTATAGTTATTATTATTATTATGAAGGTTTAATTACACAAAAGCTACGATGGCATAAAAAGCCAAGGCAAAGTAAAATGTAAACGCACAGGTGTGATCCATGACTACGGCTAAGTGTAATGTGGCTGTAAAGGGCCTAAAATGCAGTGCACAAAATGTGCCTAAAATAAATTTAAGTAATAAGATTATGATAATGACATGCAACATGCGCCAATGGGTGCCTCAGACACTGACAAAAGCTGTTTCTTTAAACATACTCGATTTTTGTAGCCATAAGAAATGTCGGTGAAGATGTATGAGCTGCTGGTGAAGCCCTGAATTTCCGGATCCTTGGAGAGCACTTTCTCACACGGTTTGCGCTCTCGAAGCACTGGAGGCATCTGCAGCTTTTGCCGGGCCCGACGGTGGGACTCTTGTAGTTCCTGCAAGAGGTACACAAGGAAGAGGGAACAAGGTACAGTGGCCACAAGCGTAAGACGCAATCACAACACTTTCACGATACATTACCCTTAGGCAAACTGAATCTTAACGAGCAACACCTTACATGTATGCGCAAGTACGCATATTCGTGAAGTCACATGTCACCACAGTCGTTCCATGTTTCCAAACAGTTGCTAAGGAAGTGTGAAACTGAGTGAAAGCCCTGATCATGCATTTGGGTATAAGTGATCCCTGCTACTATGATGACTTTAGGTATAATGAGACAATACACTCATGATAATGTCGAACATAAAGCACAACGGAAAACAGGAGTGATGAACTGCATAAACTACAGTAACTTTCAATCAACTATATCTGAGCAAAGTAGGTTCAAATGGGTGGAAAACAAAAAGGTACGAGTATTAATACGTTGATTTTTAATGAATAACGAGTCACTAACACGACGTCACGAAACACGTCGTAGAAGGAGATTCCGGATGAATGCTAACTACTCTGGGGTTTCTCTAGCGTGCTCAAAAATTCAAGAACGCGAACATTTTCGTCATTCTCTCGCCCTTCATCAGACTGCTCAAAATCCAACATTCAACCTCTAGCTCAAAAGCGCTTCTATAGAACGTTATAAAATAAGCATAACATCACTGACGTTGTTCATTCTAAGCCTGATTCAATTCAGAGTGAACACACATAACGGCTTGCAAGCGTACAGAAAGAAGAGATACAGAAAGTAACCGCTTTCTGCAATCATGTACGTTTCTCACAATACGACAACGCCAATTCAGAGCGGTTCCATGTCTGTCTGCCATAATTAACAAAACGCATGACAGTGCAAAGCAGCACGTCTACATACCTGTTCAAGTTGTTCATCAGTGAGGAACTTGTAGCGCGGCGTGTTTAACGGCACTGGGACCGGTGCGAATATTTTATCGACGTCAAAGCCCGTGAGCTTTTGGAGGAAGTTCTGCACTTTACGGACTGATGAACAAGGCCTCAACTGTCTATTTTATCAGTACTCTTGTAAGGATCGGCGCAGCCTGCAAAACAGTAACAGAGAAGACATGCGAAAGGTTTCATTCACGATTCGAGTTTCAGGATCTCGAACGCGAAAGTTTTCTTTTAGTGCCACGTAGCGCACTTTACGTTATACACAATTTTACACTAACTTGAGTTTGCGCATGATCTTCTAGCATGATGAGTCCAGGACTTTGATTTAGTAGCCGGCTGTCGTAATAAATGTTTCCACCGCGGAACGAAGGAGCATGTTTTCGACGCTACTGGTCGACGCCATATTTGATTTGTATTTTGGATGTGACTTGGTTTGGATAGCAAAAGCCCTGCAGACTACACGAAGGTCTAATATACCAAAACCGACACCGCGACCTGGGCGAAACTGGCTTTCGGCCGCTTATGCGATGCTCGTGATGTCTTTTAATGAGACATTCATTCTCAAACACTTTTGTTCGATTATTCGCAAAATGAAATTAAAGCACATGCTCGCTTATTCGTATTGAAGAAGACAACGCTACTGATCACTGGAAATCGGTTATTGATTCTCTATCTCCTTCGGCAACTTCGACAGCTTCTGTTGGCGAACCTTCTACAAATAGCAAACGGGACGCCTGTGCGTAAACTACGAGGGCCGTAGCGCTTCCGCAGAGATAACAAAACAGGCAATGAAGTATTGTACTCTACTAAGGTACCGTGGTCCTCGATCGCACGACGAAATTTGTGCTGACCTGTTAAATCTTCCATCAGCTTTCTATTTGGAGGCCCATGGCCGATTTCAGCAAGGACATGGATGGATATGGGTCTACGATAAATAAAGAACATATTAGGATGGCAAAGTGAGGAAAATTGGCAATGATGCATCTTCAACGGCCTTTTTCGACATGGAGAAGCGAAACAACACAGGGTGCACTTAATATATAGCATTCGTCCGTTCATTCATTTATTTCTTCATTCATTCATTCTGGTGGAGCCCTTGATTGTGCTTGCTTAAGTTTTTCCATGCCTGCGTGCCGTGGCCTTCGTTCTTGTAACTTGTATGCCGAGCTTGCAAGCCTCTGTCAGTAGACAGTAGAACACTTTGATCTAATGGCGACTGCCTGCATGCTTGTTAACTTGAACATCGCGAAACTTGGTGATTAGTCAATATAATACTCAAGCACCGAAAGCTTTCCCCGCGCGCCACAGAACTATAATAAGAAGGAAAAGCTAGGTACGCGTGTAGGTAGCCTCCTTCCCTATTGTTGCCACATTTTCTGCACCTTCCTCCCATTTAGCTTCTATCACCGTAACGTCAAGGTTATTTTCTTCTTGTTGGTAAAGTACAAGGGACACGTGTTTAGTCACAGGAATTTTACGGCACGTGTCGCGACACTCCTCGTGGAGAGACCACATGAGTCATTCACAAGGACTGGTTGCCTCACGGTTCTTGCAAGAAACCATTGCCCAGCGATTGATACGCCGTATTTTCTCGCACGTTAGGTGTACGAGCTGTCCTGCTCCCCCCTCCCCCCCTTTTTTTTTCTGCACATAATTTCTTGGCAGCAAAAGAAAGCAAGTAAAGAAACGTATATGAAGGACAGCGTTCTGTTGCGTGAACTTCGGGCAGTCGTCCTTCAACTTTACGTTATTGTGGTTCTATGGGACCATATTCCAGTGGAGAAGGGAGCTAATCTTTCAATATGCATCAGTGCGTGTACTCTTGTTAAAACGAAAAATTTTCGTCCGAAATTAGGGCCGTGAGTGTGGCCTACATTTGAGAGCGCGAGGTCTTAAGGGGCGAAAGATGAGGTCGGTGGAAATTTGATATTCCTCCTTAGGAATAGAAATCTTGAATACTAGTTGCGGTGGATCTAAGTTATGTGTTGGTGGGTATGTGCGCTCTAAATAAATAATGAATGAGACATATCAGGCGTGGCTATTCATTTCTGTGCGTAGCACAGGCAATATTTCCCAGAAATAAATAATCAATGTTGTAGTGTGAGTATTTTATCTCATAATACAAGCAGTAGCCGTTCAGTTGCATTTTATGTAGCCGCACTGATTATTTTCTTTCAGGGAATAATCTGGTGTAAGTACACAGTGCTCCAGTGAACAGCGATTGTTCTTTATATGAGCTAAAACACTCGCAACAATACTAACGTTTTCACGCAAATGGGAACATGCATGAACACCGTACATATTGTCTCGGAAACAATTCTAGAAAAGAAAGTAGAACATATACGTTTAAGCAAATAAACCTTGATTGTTTACGGTAGGTTCGTATGACATGTGCTAGCGTCTCTGTGTATTTTGCAAGTGACAGAGAGTGAGAGAGGGGGTGATTGGGCACTCTTAGCCGCGGGTAATCGGCACGTGCGTCGCGAAAATTGCGATATTCTTGATTGTACGAAGCGATGAGCAAGAGAGTTCTCCAATGGCCCGGAGTAGGTATGCTTGCCCAATGAACTACGGACTTCCCGCCAACATCCCACATTCCCCGCTATTTTTTTCGGTGGACATGCATACAACTCAAACGAAATAGTATATCCGGGTGGCGTGGTCATTCATTGACGTCCACTGTAAGCAATTAAAGTAAAACTCGTGGAAAGCGTGCAATCCTCGAATTGATTCTCCGAAATCGCCGCCGACGTGAAAGAAAAGTGTGGGCATCTTGGTTTTATTCCCGCCTTTTTATTATTTTTCTCGGAACGTCGGGCGAGGGACCCTATTCGTTGAATAGAAATGGCTTTTTTGTCTTCTTTACTTCACGGATATGGCGCCAAGAACGAAATGCAATCGGAGCTCGACTGGGTATCTTGCTTCGTTGGAAATTTTGGCAACCGACTGCGAAGAGCTTGCGTGCGATACAGTAGTAAATACGACCTGGTCGTCTTACCATACCACACCGAAAAAAAAAAACGGCATTGTCAGCCAACCTATTGCAATAATAGACTAGTACGAAAATCGAAATGAATCGTTGTTCTCACTGCGACTAGTGTGGGAGAGCGACTATAGTACGTGTACGATGAATATAATCATATCAGCACACGTTGCACATATAATATCAAGAAAGTAACGATGTCTAAGTCGATGCTTTGTTAGAAATTATTCAGACTTCAAGTCGCGCTGCCGCTTTTAAGGAAACTCCACGTCGCATAAAATAATCTGGAGCTGATCACAACACGACGTGTTGTTACTTGAGGTTATTGTTCTACCATGTCAAGTACCAGGACAGAGAGATACTCAGAAATAATTAACCAAATATGGAACTGTTCAATCATTTGGCAGCACTTTGATAGGAAATAGGGAGGCTGCAGGTATACTCTGGGGGATATATTGCAAGTTCACGGACTGCAAGTTGTCCAATCGCAGGGTCTTACGATGTCCTTCAGGGCCTTCGGCTCATCTGAGTAATAATCCCATGCACTCAAATGATGTGGGGATCCGACCGTGGTTTAAAAAAAAAGCCTAGACCACCCTGATAAGGTCACTCTGAGATTATTCAATTTTTTTCAAAATGTGTGATTGGTCATTAGGACCTCGCTTCGTTAAAATAAAAATTTGTGCAGGCGTCACGACATGCTTGCACGACTTACAAGATTAAACTTCGAAGAACATCACCAGCACTATAGGAGACTATGTTTATGGAGCGTTCCGAACGAATCTTAATTATATGTTTGCTTTTCTGCCTAATTTGACCTGGCCACAAGTCACCAAGAATTTCGCATCGCACCGGCATCGAAATTCGAGTGCCATGCAAGGTCGACGGACATTTGACAGCGAAATGCCTCCCCACCCAGACAGTGACATGAAGCCATGAAGGTGAACTGAACTGTTAAAAAAAAGCTTCAGCTGCTGGCATGAGTCAATATTTTATGTACAGAATTGAGAACAATCAACATCTTCTTATGATTTCAAGCCTCGAAGTTCACGAGTTCATCATTTTAAGGTTGTGTCGTTAGAAGCCGCACCAGATTTGGGAAACCAAGCGAATGCTGGATGCCCTTTACAGTCTGCCTATTTACAAGAAAATTCAAAACTTTGGTATTTTTGAGCACTCAACTATTTATGGCCACCATAATTCGATCAACCGGCGCTCGCATCGCTGAATCTCATTTTGTGACAGGGATCCAGTAGCCGATTGGTTAACTCATTTAATATATGTGCCTTTAAAACTAAAGGAATGAATGGCTCTGAAATAGTGCTCAAAATTCCAAAAGCGTGAAGAAGAGAAACGCAGGAGTTGCGATAAGTGAAGGTAAAAAAAAGAAGTTAACAATGGTATTTTTCCCCTTTGGGCAGTACTATACAAGTGTGGCCCGGCTAACTCTAGCCAGAGCTTAAAAATATTCTCCGACACTTCGGTCGAAGCGATCAAGCGTGTATTGCTGACTACTACAACAAGTAAGTTACTCTATGTTTTGAGTACTTAATTGCTCAACTGCACGAGATCAATAGATTATATTCTAAATTGAAACAAAGCTGGGCAAAAAAATGGCAGTTAGTGAATTGTGATTGAATTTGCAAAACATCCTATTACATAGTTTCTAACATTGTCTCTATTAAGTATTAATCTTGTGCTCTTTGCAGGTACCCATAAAAAAAAGCGGCCTGACGTGACCACTTGCTAGCCGCAGTTGCAGTGCTCCCTATATCGTTCCGCGTACAAACAATGCACTTTCCTAGTGGCAGTTCATGACAGTGACAAGCAGACTCAGTGGTCATCGCTGCAGTGCTGCAGGAAGCAGCAGGTTCTTCAACGCACATCACCACCATGGTCGCAGTCCTGTCGCCTTTCGCGCCGCAGCCAAATGCTATACGCTGCTGTGGGCGAATGCTGTGCAGCAGCTTGCAGGTCGAACGTTACGCAACACTGCAATTACAACGTGCATGACACGTAGTATTTTTAGGGGCGAAAGCTCTTATAGCGGCACCCGTTCGTCCTCCGTAGTAATGTAACAAGTATAAAATTTTGACCTCCAAGGTGGTGCTGGTGAGAGACTTCTTCTGT